GTTCAGCGAGGATGGCGCAAGGTCGAATTCCGGACTACACTCCCGGTACGAGTTGGACGTCCTGGAAGGAACGGCTCGAATTTTATTTCGAGGCCAACGACGTGACAGACCCGGCAAAGAAGCGAGCGCTACTCTTCAGCCTCTGTGGGGAGGAAACCTACGGCAAGGTTCGAGATTTGCTTCACCCACAAGTGCCATCTGGGGTCTCCTACGACGACGTTATGCAACGTCTATCACGCCATTTCGAGTCTGGTCCATCGGAACTGCTCGGGAGATGGCGATTTCACAAGCGTGATCAGGAGCCTCACGAAACCATTCCCGAATACGTCGATGCTCTGCGAGCTCTTGCAAAAGATTGCAACTTCGGCACAACAACGGTCACGACCGTGGCATCTGCCACGACAACCGCACAAGCGCCGAGCGGCTCCATTACCCAACAATCGGCAAGTGGCGCCGGGAGCACCATGCAGCAAGCGTCGGTGGACCAGTTAGTAACATCTACAGTCCTTCCACTGGAAGTTATGCTACGCGACCGCTTCATATGTGGCCTTCGAGACGTTCACCTCCAGCAGCGATTACTCTCTGAAAGAGCCGTTACTTTCCAGAAAGCGTTTGATTTGGCTAAGGCAATGGAATCAACGACAACTCATCAGTCGAAAATGAGGGACGATGTCGACAAGATCCATCAAAACTCCTCCAAACAACGCGATTCTGGATCAACGGCAAAGCCAAAAAATCGGGCCCAAAATCGCTGCTACAGGTGCAACAACGATAATCATCGACCGGAGGACTGTCGCTATCGCAAGAGCACCTGCAATTACTGTAAAAAGATTGGACATCTTGAGAAGGCTTGTATCTCAAAGAAAAGACGAGGAGAAAGCAAGAAGACTCATCAAGTGAGTGAGTCGAGTGCTGACCATGATGCAGAACTTTACACCCTCTACAAAACGTATGAGGAATCACCAAGTCGACCCCATTTTCAGATTACCCTCACCATCGACGGTAAAACTTTGCAAATGGAAGTTGACTCGGGAGCTGCAATCACGCTCATCAGTGAAGTAACCTTTCGCAGACTATGGTCTAAAGGAACAGCGAAGCTTCAGTCTGAAGAAAAGCAACTGTACACCTGGTCAGGGCAAAGGCTGCCAGTTCTCGGAAAAATTCAGGTAAACGTCCTGAAAACAACCGCCGCAAGAACGGAGCCAGTCCAACTCACTCTGCGTGTTGTAAAAGGACAAGGAGCAAGTCTCCTCGGCAGGGACTGGTTTGCACCGTTGGGCATTTCCCTTTCTGGAGTGAACGCCGTGGCCTCCACCTCACTGCAGAACGTCTTGGATAGATACCAAGATGTTTTCACTGAACTACAGACCGGTCACAAAGGGTCACCCATATCTATTCCAATGCAGCCGGACGCACCACCCAAGTTCCTGAAGTGCCGCCCAGTTCCGTTCGCTATCCGGGATTCTGTGCTGAAGGAGCTGGATCGCTTGGAAGAACAAGGAATAATAGAACCTGTCCTATCTTCTCAGTGGGCAACTCCAGTAGTGGTAGTGAGGAAGAAGGATGGATCGCTAAGACTTTGCGGTGATTATCGTAGCACAGTCAACGCATCTGTCAAGCCTGGGACCTACCCACTGCCGACTGTACCAGAGCTCCTTACCACAATCAGTGGAGGAAAGCACTTTTCAAAGATTGACTTGGCGCAAGCCTACCAGCAGCTTCGACTCGATGAAGCTACGTCTGAGGTATTGTGCATCAATACGATCAAGGGATTGTACCGCGTCAAGCGTTTACCCTTCGGCGTATCTGTAGCCCCGGCTATCTTTCAAAAATTTATGGACGTATGTCTTGCTGGGCTACCGGGCGTCGCCACATACCTTGACGACATCCTCATCATTGGCTCCACCAAGGACCAGCACTTAAAGCGACTCGAAGCAGTTCTACGACGTTTGAGTCAAGCTAACCTCAAGGTCAAGAAAGAAAAGTGCCATTTCGACATGTCGGAAGTTGAATTCCTCGGATACCGAGTTGATGCTGCAGGCATCCGGCCGACACAAGAAAAAGTCAAGGCGATTGTAGAAGCGCCAGAGCCAAAAGACAAGTCGGAACTACAATCATTTCTTGGAATGATTGCCTTCTACAATCGGTTCCTCAGACATCGAGCAACTGTGGCCGAAAGCTTGCATCGCTTGCTCGACAAAAATGTGCCATGGAAATGGGAGTCCCGACATAAGAAGGACTACCAAGCGCTGAAGGACCTGCTCTCGTCAGCAGAGGTCCTGGCGCACTACAATATTGATAAGCCGCTCTTCTTGTCTTGCGATGCCTCTCCCTACGGTGTAGGAGCCGTACTTGCCCAGCTAGACAACCAAGGCCGCGAAGCTCCCATTGCTTACGGGTCTAGAACGCTCGGTAAGAGTGAAAGGAACTATGCCCAGCTTGACAAAGAAGGGTTGGCCATAGTGTTCGGAGTTAAACACTTTCATCAGTATATTGCTGGAAGGTCCGTCACAATATACACTGACCACAAGCCCCTGCTAGGCATCCTCAACTCAGACAGGCAGATGCCACTGGTACTGTCCCCGAGGATGCTACGCTGGTGCCTGCATCTCCAAACCTATGACTATAACCGGGTTTACCGACCCGGTGCACTCCATCAAAATGCGGATACCCTGAGCCGTCTTCCACTGCCCAGCAACGTGGACGAACCACACGGTCCAGCAGACATCCTTATGATTGAGGCGCTCGAGACACCATCCCTCTCAGCAAAGGACATAGCCCGTCTTACGGCAAAGGACCCCCTCCTGGCGAAGGTCTACCAAGCCGTCCAGTCCGGAGCCTCCAAATGCATGACCGGAAAACAGTTCGCAAGCTATATAAGGCAATTTACCGAGCTATCGACCCACAAGGGATGCGTCTTATGGGGATCACGTGTGGTTATTCCGAAGGAGGCACAGCCAGCAGCCATGAAACTCCTGCACGCAAACCATCCAGGAGTAACAGCCATGAAACGCTGTGCACGAAGTCATCTTTGGTGGCCTGACCTCGACAAAGAAATCGACAGGTGCGTCCAACTCTGCTCAAAGTGTCAGCAACAAGTACGTGCTCCTGTTCCAGCACAAAGTCCAACTTGGGAACGCCCTCAGGAGCCATGGAGTCTACTTCACATGGACTTCGCCGGTCCTTTTGAAGGAAAGATGCTTCTGATAGTTGTTGACGCGTATTCCAAATGGTTGCAAGTCCACATCTGCGCGTCAGCAACTGCTGCCACCGTCATTGACGCCCTCCGATCCATGTTTGCCACATTTGGCATCCCGAAAGTCGTCTGCAGCGACAATGGCACGCCATTTTTAGCCAAGGAAACCAATCAGTTCCTGCAAGCCAATAACATCCGGCACATCACAAGCGCCCCCTATCACCCAGCAACCAACGGCCAAGCCGAACGAATGGTTCGGGAAACGAAGGAGTCGCTCCGCAAACTTTCAGAAGGAAGTCTGAACTGCCGACTGGCACGGTTCTTGTATAAGCAACATACAACACCAAGCTCAACAACTGGGAAAACACCAGCAGAGTTGATGTTCGGACGACAATTGCTTTGCCCATTGGATTATATTCATCCACGGGGTAAGGAAGGTGAAGAAGGCTACAAAGACGCTAAGTTCAGCAATTCACAAGCCGTCTTTATTAAGGGATTCGCGGGACAACCGAAATGGATAGAGGCTAAGGTGCTCCGTCAGGTTGGTTCCCGATCATTTGAAGTAACGACTTCAGATGGAAGAATACAAAGAAGACACATTGACGACATGCGAAGTCGGTTAGCCCAACATTCGGAACAATACAGTTCAACATCGTCTCGAATTTCAAGGTATCCACTTTTCGACTCGGATCCCGATGAACAAAAAGATGTATGTGCCTCAGGCCAGGCATCTTCAGAGACGGAATTCTCAACAGCGAACACATCTGGTGCGTTTTCACTTCCAGAGCCTACACCGATCATCAAGGGACAGGGCTCTGTTATGCCGAATACTGAACCGACATCAGAAAGTTCTCCTGGACCATCCTCCTCGTCTGTTCCGGTTCCTCTACCCAGAACACGCCCCAAGCGCGTTACAAACAAACCAGTGCGTTTTCGAGAAACTGATTAGTTTTATCGAGAAGGGGGAAGTGTTACGATGGGACTTCGTCGTCTTCATTTTGCAATAGGCAAGACGCGCGGCCTCAGCACGGGCCACGCCTCACGCACTGTTCCTGATTGAGCTAGCGACATGTTCGCAGGGCTCGTAGCTCACCTCCAATCTCGGCAGTCTTCTCCTGTAAATAATATGTAAATAGACCACCACTGAATACAGAGGTTCTGTCTTTTGTGCAAAATGGCTTGCGAATAATTATTTGACATTGATATCTGTGATCCTTTTAGTATTTTGCAGTTCTGAAGCACCTGCACTTTTTTTTTTCATTGTAATCATACAATTTCATGGGCCAAATTTTCTCTTACCTTTTTTTTTTTTTTTAGTCTATGAATTTGTTTGACCGTTTTTACACTTACACCTAGCTGTTGTTGGAAAACGCCATCAATTACCTTAGTTTTCAAGTCTTTATCTGTTTCAATTTGCATTTCAGGGATCCTAAACACTATCAGATTATTTCTTCTACTTCTGTCTTCCAGATCCGCTATTGTTTCCTCTTGGAGGTGAAGCAATTCTTCCAGCTTTTGAACTGTTCCCTGTAGCTGTTCTATATTTTGGTTATTTTTCCCACAAATTCTTTTGAAGATTGGCTGTTTGCAAATGTCTATAGTCAGTGACAGGTTTAAAATGCCGTAGATACTCTGCCTCGAGCATGAGCCCTTTGTCCTCGATGACACTTTGGCGCATGTGCAGCCAAAGCCTTGCAGGAGGCTGAGCTTGTACTGCATCCTTAGCCTGCCAAACACTATAAGCACTGTCGAGCAATTGACGAAGCCCTGGAACCTCGTGGCATGTCTCTTTCTGCTCCCTCAGATCCAGAAGGAAGAGAAGCAACTGGAGAGTGTCGTGGAGAAGAATGGCGACAACTTCTCGGTGGGAGAGCGGCAACTTCTGTGCCTTGCTAGGGCCCTGCTGCGTCACAACAAGGTACAATGTACATATAGCGCGTGGGTAGTACTAAAACAACTGAGCCTTGGAATGAACTGTACAAGCATAATTTTGTTGGCTGCTGTTTCGGACAACCAAGCCTTGGAATGAACTTTGCAAGCATAATTTTGTTCATTGCTGTTTCGTCATAGACGAGTAATATCGAAAAGGGGTAATTTTTTGTGCATCCAAGAGGGAGAGAGAAAGCAGAAGCACTTAACGGGGTTACTGAAATTATATTAGAGTTTAATTGGGCAGTTGTAACAAGTAGCAAAGGTATCCAGACGATACTGATCAGGTTGTATATCGTATAGATGGTTTCCAATTGCTCAAATTGATTACACTGAAAATTAGGCGACCATGCCAGAAGCGTCGCCCTGGTAACGAAAAAGAATGGAGGTGTGTGCCTCGTGTGCCACACGCTTGTTCTCTCTCTCTCTTTCTTTATGTGCATGTCGCAGAAGAGAACATATTCTTTGAGAGCGCCAAAAGCTAGAGAGATAAAATCCAATCCACAAGTTTAATTCAATCCTCACACTTGGTCTTCGACCAATTTTCCGGTTTTTGCCAATTGCTGCTTCTTTTAGCATTCTCTATTTTCTCTGGGAATATTTCTCTTGAAATTCAAGGAAACATTAGGCCTTTTTATTTTATTGCAAGTGTTGTTTACACAAAATTGAGCTTCCGGTTTGTCCTGTGTGCAGGTATTGGTTCTGGACGAAGCCACAGCCTCTGTCGATGCGGAAACCGACCAGCTGATCCAACAGACCGTGCGGGAAACATTTGCCGACTGCACGGTCCTGACCATTGCGCACAGGCTAAACACCGTGTTGAGCTGTGACGTCGTCATAGTATTGGACACGGGCAAGGCACGTTCCCCCCTTGACAATCTGCAGGAACTCTCCTTCCGTTGGCTACAGCCTTTACCGTGCTTCAACCAGACCGTGTGCCTCGTTAACTCTAATTTCTGCCAATCTCTACTTGTTTGTGCACTGTTTGCATGCTTGCTGGGTTTACAAATGTCTCCAGCATATACCTGAATGTCTCGGGCAGTGTTGGTGGTGGATTATGTAGGCTGATTACTTCTTTTAAGGTGGCGGTGCAAGCGAGTTGGTTTATGACATGAGAAATTGGGAACAGCGCGCAAAAACTACTTCTCGCTTATTACTTGTTTATTGCTTCTCGAAAGCTCAAGATAATTTACCTATATTGGAGTATACATGAAAGCATGTTGATAAAAAAAAAAAAAGCTTTGCTTAGACTTTAAATATAAGCAAAATTCCTTAATCGCCTCAGAACGATAGGATTATTATTATTTTTTTTTTCCAAGCTCTTGTGTAATTTTTTGAAGGTGTGACCCTGTTATCATACCGTTTGTGTACAAAATTCACAATATTTCCTGCTCCTGTTTTATAACTCTTGACATTTGGCTGTTCAGAACAAACTACTGTTACACGGAGTCTTGCGAAAAAACTGTAAAATGTTGTGTACGATTTGCTAGATATAAACGTCTGTCCACTGAAAACAGACTGCACTAATAGATACTGGCAATCTTTTGCATAGTATTGTAGAAGTTGATTAGATGAGACCTGATTTAATGTTTCATTGTTTGACTCTTCATTTTCCTTTTTATTTTGCAGGTCATTGAAATGGACAGTCCCCTTGCACTGGCCAATGACCCAAACTCTGTGTTTGCATCCATGCTGAAAGCAACCGGCACGCACTCATCAATGCCAGGGTCACAATAGTAGTCGCCTGGTCAACAACACGCATCTATTAATGCATAGAATTATATTTTTCTTTAGCTCTCTTTTGCATCGGATGGGACGAGCCTATTATTGAGATCTGATTTTCTTGTGTTGTTTTAATTCAGTTTAAATTATGATGACTTTGAGATTTCAATCTTGGATTGCAAGAAATTTGAATCTCTTTATGTGATGCTTTGACTCGTTGAGTTTCTGTGATAGAAAATTACACAGTGTTTCTTGCGAGGGTAATTGCTTAGCTGCACTGGTTTGCAGAAATGGCATTTAGGAGAAAAAAAAAAAAAAAAAACTTATAGTTCTGCATCCAAAGCAGTGAGCACAGTGCAGTACAGCACATCCATCTGTTGTTACCAGAGGCTGATGCTCTGCTCACCTTCCTCAGGCATTCAGCTTCCATGTGTTCTGCTGTATTTACTGCAGTAGCTGCATTTAATGCAAAAGCATAAGTTTGGCTCAAAGGTTGTGTTGCCATTTAGACACCGAGTGAGTTGTGCATTTTTTTGCTATTCTTTTTTTTCATTTAGACAACTTTTTAGTCCAGTGAACTTTGTTTTTGAGACTATTTAGGTAATTTCTGTTGGCTCATCGTAGAACACTTGATTATCTACTAGTATAGTGATCCGGGATATAAAATGCTCCAACTATATTTTTTATGTTTGGTGACTCCAATGCATATTCACGCTTTGTGCTCAATGTTTAAAGCTCTGCCTCTTAGTTAGCTGATCTAAATCACAATGGCACTTGCAGTGCTCTGCATTCCCAATCCTTCACATGTGTGTCCGGGCATTGCCAGTGCATTGTGTCTCAAGTTAGCCAATTTCTGCAGCATACCACACTTTCGTGTCTCATTTAGCCAATTGTGGTATGCTCAGGGTTACAGTGTGCGTACAATGGGACAATAATATTACTCTGGGGACATTTTCGTTATCTTTTTTGTATAGTATGCCTTCAGTAGGGAAGAACACGCAAGGGGCAGCGAATATGCTCTGCCAGCTCCTTAGAGGAGGCAGAGCCTTTGCGATTGAAGATGAGAGTAAACACATTGGTCGGCTTGCTAGAAACGGGGTCTTTGCCAAGACTATATGAAAAACGAGCATTACCAAGGCTAGTGCATGAGCAGAGTGGCCTATAAAGTCCAGTCACAATTAAGTGCTGCGTGCCCCAGGGCTTGCAGGCGTCCTTTTAGAGTCTTAGCTATGACTCTTTTTCTAGCAAGTTGGCCCTGGCTTTTGTATCGTCGCATTTCTTCTTTCCGCACACACACACATGCTCCTTCCTTCTTTCCTTTTCAAGTTGCCAACTTGCAAAGGAATGAAATGTGAGGAGGAACGTACGCGGGTATCAACTCATCAGCTGATGCTCGCGTGTTTTTCCTGATATTGAAGGCAGCTGTATGGTCTTACCCTTGCAATGTATGTACTTTTTGCATATACGTTAGGTTTTATACTGTGTTACAACTTCTGTCTGCTAGATGGGCAGAAGCACAGGCTACCCAGTTGATATGAGTAGCCGTAAAGTACCTCAATTAATGCCCCTTGGAAGTCAGTGAGTGACTGAAACATGCAGAACACGGGAGCATGAGCTGATCTGTCTGTTTTAAAGGAGCTTATGGTACAGGTGTGTGAGGCTGCTTGTGTGAATTGGGTGTTAGCTTGGTTGGTGTGCCAGCAATTCAGTTAACCTCGATATTACAATTCCTAGCTGAAATGTTATTTACAACGTTTGGTTATTTACATTCTAAGGACACACTCCGTTGCCAAAGCAATTATTTTCTCTTCTTTTTTTATTAGGAGGTGGTATTCTGCTTATTTGTTGTTGTGTTTCTATAGTACTTTATACATGCAATAAAACCTTAATGCCTTCTTCTGATACCTGAGGTGGTGTACCCATTGTGACAAGTCATGGGTGTTAGATTCTATATGGGCTAGTTTACAACTAAGGTGAGTTTAGGCTGACAGTAAAACTGCATTCACATAGTGGCAGTCATTTTACCAGCTTTCACTGACCATGACACAGGGTTGAATGTGTCTTACTTGTAACATCGTCACACCACTTGGGTCTAGTCCTTCTGTGTACGCAGCTTGGAACTTCCGAAGGTTGTGTGCTTACGCTGACCAAGTGATTCTGCAAAATCATTCTTGAAGTATTTGGGATCAAACTTCAAAGCAATTTTCTCACCCAAGTTCAGTTCCTTTTAACGCTTTCTGGTTATTGTGAAAGCCGATTCCCCTGCTCCTTTGCCAATGCAGTTAAACTGACAGTTTGAACTCGCCCTATCAATGTCTACAAATGTGCCTCAAGCATTAAGCACCATCACATTATTTTGCGACTTGTATCGTAAGCCTACCCTATATTTAAAATGCCCTCCCGGCAAGCATTCTTAATGCACATGTCTTTCTTGTTCATGAAAGTTGAGGAGCGTCTGCAAAAAGGGATTCTAACCATCTGTATCACACAGTGGCATAGCCATTGTTGGGAAGGGGGGTGGGCACTAACCCCCCCCCCCCCCCCCCTCACCTCAAGTCATGGACTTGGGGTGTGGGGAGCTATGCCACTGGACTGGTATCCTGATGTTCATATGCTATTGTGATGAAAGGGGCTGTTGGAGCCTGTTTATTTGTGTGCAGTCTTGATTTGCTGACTTCCATCTTAGAGTTAAAGAGGATGAACACAAATGCTGCCTTGTGCAGGAGCCAGCCTGATGTTAATTAGTGCATGGTCTGTGTATCTTTTACACAGATAGGCACTTTGAATCCTCTTAGTCAGTGTCCTTGAAGTGCCAGCCTTGTAGGTTCCTTGCTAGGTTTCTTTTCTTTTTTTCACATCTTCCCATTACCGCGGGAAATCCAGTATTATGTCTCTTAGTCCTTTTCGCCTCCATGAACATTGTTTCGTGGCCTTATACACGTGGGGCATACATTCATAGATTGGCCATGTGGGTGGCCATTGTGTCGATGCATGCCCATTTAAGTGCATTGTTGGTTCGATCCATGAAAGAAATGTCATGTTGACTCATCTAGATAATGCTATTTTGTGACACCAATTGCTCTGAATAAATATGCTTTTCTTTTTGACCATTTGGTGTTCGATATCTATTCCTCGTGAGAGAAAGCTAGGGATCAGCATTTGCACCAAATATAGGGTGGCATTTGACGGGTGCATCTAGACCCATTAATTGCTTGCTTCTATATATTTTTTTAAAGACTCGTGCATTGTGAGGCAGCTTGACACGACCCTATTGACGCCACTGGAAACCCCCAAATTTTGACAAGTAGGAACGACCACCAGCAGGGTGCGGTGACGTCACATACAAACTAGACTTCCAGAGTTGCGCGTTCATCTCCGTAGCGCCGTCTTTCCTGCACGGCATGCTGATCCCGCTCGCCACGTGACCGAATTCGGCGAATAGCGGCGCCGCGCGCTCAAAAGCAGGGGAACGTACGCGGGGGCGCGTGCAACGTCTACTTTCCTGCACGGCACTTGCTCCTCACGTGATCGTATATCGGCAAATAGCGGCGCGGCGGCACGTGGAAAACAAACGCGCAACTCTAGCTCCCGTCCAGTCGTCACACACAAGAGATAACTTTTTTTTTTTTTTTTGCCAATAAAAAATTTGCTGGGTACGCGCGTCCAATTCACGGCCCATTGAAGGATTCTGACGCCTTGGATGGATGGATAGATAAATTTTGGCTGTTCCCTTTATACCGGGCGGTAGCTTGCGTCACCTAGCCTTAAAGTAATAAAAAAAAAAAAAAAACTTTTATTATTTTTTTTTTTTTTTGCAGGTATAGGGTGCCTACATGTCTCCGCCGCTCCGGAAACATGTAGGCACGCTAGGCAAGTAGAGTACTTTCAAAAAAAAAAAAATAATAATAATAATAATTGAAGGGAATGGGGCAAAAAAAAAAAAATTAAACATTGCTTTTCGCCTCCTTCCCCGGACGAGGGAGTCGGCAACTTTCCTCTGGTCAACCTCGTCGGTGTTCAGACCCACCGGGGGACAGGTGTGAGACTTCGGGCCGGAGCCACGCCGCCACGCCGGGAGGGAGTCCCAATATTCCTCTGTCCCTCCTGTTCCCCAGCTGCGCTAATTGTTCGTCCTTGTTTCATTTTCTCTAGACTGTATCCACCAGTTAAAGAGTGTCTGGAACCGCTGGTGCTGACGCATGAAGTACCTGTAGATGGGGCCATTGGGTTTCTGGATCTGAGCCTTCAACTTTGTCATGGCCATGTGTGCTCCAAGCTAGCGCATTCCAAACTAGTAAAAAGGGGAATTGTTAACCTCTGCGTTAGAAATGCCCTGTTCAAGTCGTGCCCCCACAGGGTGAAAGAGAGCTTCGACACACAAGCATCAAGGCTCAGATTTGCGGGATATCCGTCTTGACGACAGTTGCTGAGAGCCTGCTTAAAAGGCATCTAACACGCCAAAAAAAAAAAAAAAAAAAATTTCATGCTACGCGTTGAATTTGCATATCAGGACATTACAAAAAAATTGTTTCACGTAGTTTTTTTTTTTATAAAAAAAAATAAAAATACGAGGCCCAATTCAAAGTTCTCGTCGTGCACTGTGACGTAACAGTGTACCGCAAGGTGTCGGGGCGGTCAGAAGGGAGGCATCGCCGGAAGTCACGTGAGTTGTATCCCTCCTCGTGCTTACCGCGAGCGCGTGTTATATATATTTTTTTTAATATTTTTGTTATTTTCCGTACTTCCACGAGCGATCCAAGCAGACCAGTGAACTGACGTGATCAACTACAATGCCTAGAAGGTGCTGTGCGAGGGACTGTCCCGGTATTTCAGCAACTGAAGAAGAGATCACACTGCATGCATTTCCGAGAGACATACTTCGGCCGCATGTGCACCGAGTAAAAACGTTCTATTCATGTTCTAGACAAAATACGTACTGTGTGCTCGACGTTTACTTGTACTTCGTACACAAACGAGTTCGTATTCTTTAGATGGCAGGAATCTTTAGCCTGGAAAGTATCCGATGATTCAACGACCTCGGTGTCTGAACCTTCAGCAATGCGATCGGGCATGTCGTATGCTAGCAATCCTAATTTCTGCGAGCGTTCTAGAATTTTTTTTTTTTTTTTTTTTTTCAAAACTTGATAGCTTGTTTTGCGCCCAGTATAGCCCTGTATCATCGGACTGACGGCATGCACTCGTACACTGGCTTGCGTACTCGCAACGCTTTCATCATTGACCTCCATCACGTCGATTCACTGACTCTTCGTCCTCAAATTTTACAGCACGCAAACTAACCAGCGGTGCAACGATAAAGAGCTAGTGGAACTGAAACTTCGATTTTACGATCGCTCGTACGAAGAGCAGAAAAAAAAAATATTAGGCACGGTCGCGGAGAGCACGAGAAGTGAAACTCACGTGACTTCCGGTGAACCCACTTTTAGTGACGTAGGTCGATGCCTGGATGGATGGATGGATGATGGATGGATGAATACGGCTGAGCCCTTTGGATCGGGCGGTAGCTTACGCCACCTAGCCATTTTGTTTTACCATTTAAGCTTAGAATATTTAAATGTGAAATCTATATTCACTCCGCAGTGAATATCGCCCCGACACCTTGCGGTACACTGTTACGTCACAGTGCACGGCGGGAACTTTGAATTGGGCCTCGTATTTCTATTTTTTTATAAAAAAACTACGCAACTCTATAGTGAAACAATTTTTTTTTGTAATGTCCTGATATGCCATTTCAACGCCTACCATGAAAAAAAAATTTTTTTTTTTTTTTTGCGTGTCATAGGGTTGACAAAAAAGTAACCGTTTTGCCATACCTGTACAAGATCTCGCACAACCTGAAGAAAGTTGGGCGAAGGGTTGGTGTTGATGTGTTTTTTTCGGCTCCGGAAGAGCTGTCTGGGCTGTGCAGAAAAGTGAACTCCTGTTCTAAAGGAACGCAGGGTTGCACCAAAAAAACACCACGACCGATTCGTGAACTGTGTGGAGGGAGTGGTGTACTCTATTCCCCTCTCGTGCGGCAGGAGATACGTCGGGCAAACGGGGCGCGGCCTCAATGATCGCTTGCGAGAACATAAGTATAATGTCTTTAGAGTTGTGTCAGATCACCTGGACCTGCATTGCCGTGACTGCTGCTGCACTCCCGTCTTCGACAAGTGTGAAGAGATTAGGAAAAATAAAGACAAACTCACTCGGGAAATCATTGAGGCGCGGGAAATTGGAAAATTGGGGGAAAACTGTGTCAGCACTCCTTCAATATGTTTATCGGAAAAAGAATGTTGCTTTCTTGACACACGGTGGCTAAGGAGCACGTGGTGTCCATTACTTGTATTTTATCTTTATTTGTGTGTCATGACGTTATAGTATTTATACTTCATGTTAGCACGAATAAACTTAGTTGTAAGTCAGCGCCTTGTTCGTCTACCTTCTTGTTCTTGTCCGTGTCCCTGCTCTGTTTTAATTTTTAATCATGAAATACCAACTAGCCCAAACTTCTACGTTAGTCAAGGAGGTTAAAAGTACTAGGAGGGGGCACGTTGCAATATTGGTGAAGCATAGTCATAAAAAGTCTAAACGATATTGTGCCCAGAGTGGCATTAGATCTCTCTGGCAATTGGTGCGCGTGACATGTCACGTGTGAGATGGATGGTTGATTGTAGAAGGATTCCTTGCAGGTTTGCGCGCTCCGTCCGGTAGGTTTTATCAGATCGAAGGCTAGCTACGGTCACGTGATGTGGTCACGTTGGCCTGATAAGTGAGGAGTGTAAGGAGAAAAATGAGAAAGAGGCGAGGCTAGGGTGACCACCCGTCCCGCGACTCGCGGGACTATCCCGCATTGAGGGCTCGTGTTTCGCGTCCCGCAAAGAATTTCCAAAATCTTCAAAATGTCCCGCATTTCACATTGTCGTAAAACTCACCACGCAGCTTATGGCGCTGCCGAACAACGGGGCACAGAGAAGCGCGGAGATCGCTGGTGAACCTGTGAATCGTGATGGTACACCATTTTCTATCCAAGCATCGTGGGAAGCGACCGTCGTTCTTGCAGGAGATCTGTCGCGCATGCGCCTTCGTGCCTCTCTTCCCTTGGTGGCAAAATACACCAAAAGTTGAAAATACATTATTTTAATTATTTTCAAATCGTGCTGCGTCATTGCGAAAAGGTTGCTGTGGAAAGCTTTTTTTTTCTTTTTTTAGTAAAGACGATCACACAAGGCAAGAAGACTGCAACCCACAACGATCAAAAACAACGTAAAATTCGAATTTTCTGTAGGAGCATGTTGTTAAAAATACGAATCGAAAGGAAACGAGAAGCCATAAAAGATTTACTGCTTCTATCCTTTTGATGCATTGAGTTCTGTTGCAGTCGATTTTATGTTTTCAACTCGGACAACTTGTAGTGAAAATTATTTGAGCGTAATTGCCGCAATTAATACAATTTGCAGCTGTATAATATGCTTTCAGACAAGACAGGATATCAAATGTGCTAGCAGAGCCGCATTTCGTGGCATGTGTTGATAGGTTTCCTCGAATAGTTATTTTTTCCATTCTGTTTTTTTCACCTGAGACTGGGGCAGAAGGCGGAAAAACAATTTTCCTCCACCTGCTCCTGTCTCGGGTTAGAAGGCAGCATAGTAAATTACCATCAGCCCGACTGCGCACTAAGTTCTTTTTTGCAGTTGCCACAGCCGAAATATACAGCCGTTCTTCTCTTACCCCCCCCCCCCCCCCCCCCCCCCCCCCCCCCAAGGTCAGCGTGTCCCGCATTTCGCTAGCGGGAAGGTGGTCACCCTAGGCGAGGCGTCAAGGGAACATGGCTTGTGGAGGCTACGCGGCTGACGTCATGCCCTCTCCTACCCTTCTGTCCTCCTTGGACTCGAGTCGGAGCTCTTTGGATTTTCTCGCCGGAAACCGTCACCAGTCAGGAAATGACGTCATCTTTAGCTCCTTTGACTCTACGTGCACCGTCTCCGGCCTCGGTGCTTCGGAGCTTGACTCCGAAGCCGCGGAGTTACGTGCACCAGAAGTGACTTTTGGCCGTCCAGTGGAAGGAGTCAGTGACTCCTTGACTCCGGGGCCGCTGGTACAAAGTGGGCAGTAAGCCATGTTCCCAACTGATCACAAGACGTTTGATGGTGGGAAAAGAATGCTTCGTACAACGAGGTAGAGGGCATTAGAGTGATAAACTGGCAGCTGAAAGTGACCCCCAATCAAGGAGGTTAGAAGTACTAGGAGGGGGCACGTTGCAATATTGGTGAAGCCTAGTCATAAAAAGTTTAAACGATTTTGTGCCCAGCGTGACCGCAGATCTCTCTGGCGATTGGTGCGCGTGACATGTCACGTGTGAGATGGATGGTTGATTGTAGAAGGAGTCCTTGCATGCTTGCGCGCGCTCCGTCCGGTAGGTTTTATCAGGTCGAGGGCTAGACTGTGGTGTATTCTAGTACCCCATAGCAAGACGAAGGTTAGCTACGGTCACGTGATGTGGTCACGTTGGCATGGTAGGTGAGGAGAGTAAGGAGGAAAATGAGAAAGGCGAGGCGTCAAGGGAGCATGCCTTGTGGAGGCTACGCGGCCGACGTCATGCCCTCTCCTACCCTTCTATTCTCCATGCCCCCAATTGACCGCCGCCATGTTGTACAATTTTGACCACTAGACACGTGACCAGGCCAAATCTATGACGTAACCAGACCAAATCTCTGGCGTCAACGATAAGATGGCAGCGCCCAGTGCGTGTCGGAAGCGTTGTGGGCGTTGATCGGAGTGTGTGGATTTCGTGTGCGCAATTCGGTTTTTCAGGGTTTTTTATGCTCCCCCGCGTAGGAATAACGTGAAGTAGGAGGGAATGAGGCTTTTCTTTTTTATTTAATTCAGAGTAAGCCAGATTCGGTCCCGTGCTTCTCTCGTACGGGCTCGGATCACTACCTCGGACATCGCTCGGTCGTTCGAGTTTAATTAAAATATCCGCAATCGTTAACCACGGAAGCTCCTCCATAATCGCTGAGTCGAAGGATACGTCGAACCCATCCGGAACGCGGAGTCTAAAGGTATGTAGGACGTAACCAGAACGCGGAGTTCTAACGGTACGGCGGACGTGCCCGGGCAATTTTCTTAGCTCGACCGTCAAGATTCGCATTTGAAGCAGCGAGTGAAGTGTTGAAATCTCCGAACTGCTCGGTGCTGAGCTAACTACGGACCACTTCACTATGTGATCCGTAGTGACGTGAAAAAGACCGACGGCGGTCACTCCGGGGGGACGGCGGCTCCCGCCGCCTGCCGGGTGCCTTCTGTGAAGGGGCGACAGTCGTGTAAGCAGTACTGTACCAGCTTCTCTTATAGTTATGTTGTTCTCGAGCAGCTTCCCGATCACTAAACCCCGCAAACGCGTGCCGAAATTTCAAAAGGTGTCTGCCAACCTGGAAAGCCTTGAACTCCCAGGGAATTTCGGATCATCTGGGAAACTCAGGGAATCATTCAAAAAGTGGGCTAAATAAGGGAAGACGACTAGTGAAAGCGGCATGGCGGTTGCTCGTCGGCACGGCCATGCTGAATGACATTGCCGAAATGTCGTCCTTCGACTCAAAAACTCAAGGAATTTGATCAAAATAGTCAGGGAAAAACTTGAAAAAGTCGGGGAATTTGAAATCAGTAGTTTGTTAGACACAATGTTTGATTTTCTTGGCACTCCACGCGTTTTTACACACGACAGGCACAAGCCCGTGTATCACACGGCAGCCAGGCCAAGCGGCTGCCAGCCACTTGTGCAAGGTCGATAAGACGCAAGCGTGGAACGCTTTCGGACTGCTGTAAATACACCAGCGGGAGCGTCCGGCCGCAGTCCGACTGCCCACGCTAGGACACCCCGACACAGACTCCGCGTCCTGAGTACGTCTGACGTATCTTTAGTTTTTGCATCCTAGGTACGTCAGACCTATCTTTAGACACAGCGCCTCATAATAGTAGTGAATAGGGCCACGTTCAGTGCGCAAGTCACTTTATTACACTCGGAGAGCGGAATTCCATTCCTGTTGCGCAGGTAGTTCCGAGCTAGGCATGCACTTGAAGACTATGTTTCACTCTTTCATAAAGCAAGCTTTGCGGGACCCCTCCGCCCTTGTGCACCCATTCGCAGGTTGTGTCGACTTTCCTCACGTAACTCCCGCAGGTTCAGTGAGTTGCCGAGCCACTGCAGCCCTGGCGTCGCTCGGTACATACAAGAGGCGGCTCACGTCGGTCGTCCAGCAGCGTACTGGAGGGACGCAAAGCTAGCAGCCTCCTTGATGCACGCAAGACGAGGCTGAGCAGAGCTCCAAGCTCTTCTGACGCACATGTGCACTCCAATGAGACCGGTGTCGCACCCCCGATTCCTAGAGATGTGGTCGCACTGGCAGTCTTGTCGGTCCTTGGGGGCCGTCGAGGAGTGCCAGAAAGCAAAATTCCATCCTTCTTGCGCAGGTAGTTCCCCAGCTAGTCACTTCCTTGACGACGTCGCACCCTCTCTGGAAGCAAGCTTCGGGATGCTCTTGTGCACCCATTTGCAGGTCGTGTCGCCTTTGCTCACGTAACTCCCGCAGGTCCAGCGAGTTGCCGAGCCGCTGTAGCCCCGGCGTCGCTGGTCGTGCATCCTGGTCCTGGTCGTGCATCAACCACCGCTGCCCATTTCCGCTGAGTGCTTGGGTGTGGTAGCTTGACGTGCTTTCGCAGAAAGCTGTATGCCTTTGCCGAGTAAAAATGGAGCGTGAGGGCAAACTTGCGAACATCCTCTGTACATGCGTTTTTGTTGCGCCTGACTCTTTTTAAGACGAGGTTGCGCATTGTGTTGGTGAATGCATTGTCAAGTATGTCAACTGCTGGCTTAGGAAGTCGTGTCCTCAGTTCACGGAGCAGCGTGTTCAGCTTCCTAATCCTGGCCGTCTTCCGATTGATCTTCTTTGCCTGTTTCAACAGTTTCCTCGCCTTCTGCAGCTTTTGCCTACTCGTGGACAGGACCCTGTGCAGTCGTGGTGACACACCTGCGTACGAGTGGTCACCGAAGGAAGTGTTGCGTCGCTTGAACACAGCTTCAGGGGGAGTCTCTGACGTCGTAGCCTGAGAGGGGGAAGTAACCAGCTTTACATTGCTTCCAGAACCAGCAGCAGCTTGGGCCTCTCCTGGGGTTGGCTGATCAGTCGTCGATCCAGGCTGCCTCTCTGGAGGGTGAGACCTGTCAGCAGAACAACGAGCGGTGACATTCAAGACTGCCTGTATTCCACAAGACTGTGTGCCAGGGCAT